GAAAAACCAAAAAATGGTTATTTTATAATTTTTTATAATCATTATGGTAATAGTAACTATTAACTAGGTATTAGATTAAAAAATCGTGAGATTCGTGTAAGTAATTTTGTTTACCTTTGGAAGTGATTGAAATATTCTGTCATTTTTTAGATATTCTTTGGGAGCATTTCCACATTCCACTATCCACTGGATGCTTGTTGATAGAATACGAGTCATTGTGCTACAAAAATTATTATTACAAATAATTTTTTTGACCAATTTAAAAACTTCTACATCCATTTCGATGCGAATAACTRCGAGTATGGACAACAATTGAACTTCTTATGCCTTATGCGTTATTTTAATATCTATTTTTTTAGTTTGGTATTTGGTATTTTATCTTTTAATAAATAATAAGATGTGCTATCTTCATTACCTATTACCTTTTTAGTGTAGATTGTACAACAAATCAAACTGAAATTTTTTTCCGTTCGATAATTTTGTGGTCGGAATTTTTTCCCGGGATTCGTTCTCTATCTACTTTTTTAGTATTTACWGTTTACACAATGATTGCATAATATATCAGTAAGTATCATTCCAATAGAGTTGTAAATTATAATATACCTAATTAGTAATTTATTATAAATTATGACGCATGAGCAGCAATGTATATAGATACACAGATGTACATTCAATAAAAATTAGAATAATAATCATATTATAAAATTTTCGYTGACCTACAATAGTTTAATAAAGGTACGTCAGCAAAATATTTGAAGTGACTCTCGATGRGTTATATTAATATATAATATTATACATTAGTGACAGTCATCTCAATAATTATAAATGTTGCAGAATGTGGGAAAAAATTGCTTTTTCCGACAAACTAGTTTGAAATATTACTACAAGTCGACAAAAGTTTAACAATAATAATAATAATATAATAACAATAGGACGAATGTCGTCGGAACAGTCACTAGTGACTGTGGCATCAGTCATATTTGCACAGAGGCGTAATTGGGGGGGAGGTGTAAGGGGTTTCCATCATCAAAACAAAATGTTTTTTTATATTGGTTATAATTTTAAACAATAGTTATACTAAATAATACTACTACAAATTAACATGTATATTATTATTACGATCTGTCGACCGACATAATATTTATTTGATTGTTAGAGTTTGAAACTTAAGTAAAATTACATTCAATTTGATTATAAATTTATTTTAACTTCCCACCCCCCCCAGAAAAAGTCGTATCTACGTCGCTGTATTTGTAAAAGAAGTCTGACTCAGTGGCCCGCGGTTCGAAATAGTTGTTATTTCGCGCGCTCAGTCTGCTTTTCCAACCAGCGGACTGCGGAGTGAGACGACATAGTCGCAACGATCTCTAATGACATATTGCCATCCACGAGGATTGTTGTAGGTTGCAGCTTGCAGTACTAGGCAAGTAGGCGACAACAGACTGCCTTTTGCCATATTATATATTATTAAATTTTTGCCACTGCCACATTTAACGTTGCCACTAGGGCACTAGCTCTGCTGCTGCTGCACTCGCACTGCTGCAGTCGATGTGCAACGGCGACGGCAATGACGTAACGACATGATAACAGAACAACAATTATGTGATATCGTGCGCGTGCGTGCGAGTGCGTGTACTCCTTTCGTTGGCACCGCCACAACAATTATATATATTATTATTTCGGTCACTACTCACTATATGTCGGCGGGGTGGGGTGGGAGGAAAAAACTTGCCTCAGTCGGCGAGAGACGTATCTCACTATCGTGTACCGTAACTCATAAGCGTTAACGTACGTGCAACGATTGTCCCACGCGTTATCGTTTCGCGTCAGTCACCGTGTTCCGTGGTATAATAATAATAAATCCGAAACCTATTCGTTGGATCTAATATTTCATTCTTACCCACCATTACCCTCTCTCACGACAAGCCACGAACACCGGATGATTAATCGCGCCGCTATTCGGTCATCAGGCATTCGCTATCGTCCGCACGTCCTACCAACGACGACGTCCGATCACACTATCAGTGGCGAGTGATAGAGAACCGTTTAATTTCATACTACGACTGCTTACCAGTTTTTGTGCACCGACTACTACGTTAATTTATTATTACTATTATAATTATATCACGCACACGCACACGTTTATCGAATTCGTACGTGTAACGTCGAATTATCATCTTTATTATTATTATTTATCTGTGTCCGCGTCGATCGTTTCCGCCGGAGAGCTGATAACCGATAATTAATCAACAAACTCGGTGTCCGGTGACCGTAGCGTAGTAACCGTGTGAAATTAGGTTATTTCGCGTAGTTGTTTTCCGTCCGCCTCTGTGCACTTGTTCAACGCACCGTCGAGATTCCTGTCCGGTTTCGTTGTTCCATCATCAGTAGGAGTTGATCAGCGTTATTTTTTACGACCTTTATTTGAAATACCAATCGCCATGGCTATGGAAGGAGAGGAGCTCATCTCGGATCAGGAAAAGGTAACGTTTTTCTCTCATCTACTACGTGCAGTTGTATTGTGACAACGGCTGAGTTGACGAAACAGTATAATTTCTTGTACGTTTCATGCAACATAGTGTGGCCCTCACAACCGAGTTGTGTAAAAATTGCTATCGGCTAGGTCTTTGTTACTCATTTCATTGCGATTCCAGTGTGTATGAGACTGTGTATTTTAGATAAAATATAAATAAAATGTTGATTAAAATTRATTGTGYATAATCAGGTATAACTGTATAAGTAATTTCTTGATTTATTATWGTAGTCATTTCTTACATTGAGACACCTGTGTGCCAAGCTTACTCTATTAATTATAATATTATGTACCTTGGGTATAGTCAGTACTTGAGTTGGGAAAATATTAGGAAGATGCAAACTTGTAAAACAAAATTTGTGTATCTGAATATTTAAATATCTTATTGGTTAATATTTATTTAGATGGAGTAAATATGCATAAATGTATTTTAAATAGAATGATAAAGGCATTTTTCCTGCAAACCTCCTCAGTTATCGGGGTTGGTAAATTGAGTTCCAAACAACCCTAACTTGGTAAATTGAGTCTCGGG